TGGGCTCCCGTGACGTGTTCAAGTACACGGACGAATACGACGACCTCCTTGATCTCGCCGGCTATACCGACGATCTGGTCAAGGTGACCAAATGTAGGACGGGCCTGGATCCGAAGATCAACCAGGCTATCACCACCTCTGGCAACCCTCCCAGGCTCACTGACTACGCCGAGTGGCGTGTCCGTGCATTCCGGCAGTACAATGCGGAACAAGCTGCCAAGGCGTCTCGAGGCCACGTTCCTCCCCCCCGAGCGCCTCCTATTGTCCCTTGTCCTTGTGCTCTGGTGCTCCCTGCTGTAGCACCAGCAATTGCTGCTCGCCCGGCGCCGGCTCCTGTTGCCCACCCCATCCCCATGGAGTTGGATCGGACCTGGCTCCGCGGTGATGTTCGCCGCACCTGCTTCCACTGCAGCAGTCCGGGCCATCTTGCCCGTGACTGCCCCACCCCGGCTAATATCCGTCACACCAATGTCCTCGATGAGGTCATCAATCAGCTGGGGAGTGATCTGCTGTCCGAGTTGGTTGCTCGGGTCGCGACCACTGCAGTCGTTGCGGATCATGCGTCCAACGTCGCAGCTGAGGAGGAGCAGGGTTTTCTCCCCAGCGACAAGTGAGTAGTACGCCCTCGTTTGCTTCACGTAATTGTTTCTCCTGTTTGTATGATGAATCCAATTCCGTCCACTCTGCAACAGTCGAAACAATAGACGTACACCCTGCCCCGCCTCCGACCCCACGAGTCCACAAGGAGAAGTGGGAACGCAAGCTCCCTTCCTGCTATGTCGTTGCCACCTCCTCCGGGGCCAATTCCCTCAACCTCCCCCTGGAGATCGAGTCCACTGACAACGCAGTGAAGCTATCTCTCAAAGGCCTAGTCGATTGTGGCGCTACATCTGACTTCATTGACTCGGCCTACGTCCTTGAAAATCACCTCCCCGTTTGTCGCCTCACCCAGCCTATCCCCGTTTACAACGTGGACGGCACGCCGAACGAGGCCGGTTCCATTCGCAAAGTTGCTGATGTGGTTCTCCGTTACCAGGGCCACAGTGAACGCGTGCAGCTTGCTGTCACCTGTTTAGGCAAGCAGCAGCTCATTCTAGGGTACTCCTGGCTCCGGAAGCACAACCCGGAGATCAACTGGGATACCCAGGAGGTAAAAATGAGCCGTTGCCCTTCCGGTTGCTCCACCTGCCGGGAGGAACTTCGCGAAGAACGTCGATCTGCCAGAACCGCGGCCCGGGTGCTCCGCACCATCAGACAAGGTCCGGTTCCATCCATCTGCGCTGTCGACGTCGAGGACCACAAGGACGAAGAGATGCCGGAGCTTTCGCCAGACTCGGACGATTATGACCCTGAAGATGTCGAAGAAGATGACGACTCCTTGGAAGCCGGTGACCGTATCTTTTACACCCGCTTCAACCCTTCTGAAAACATCCGAGCTACCAGCACCGTCTCTCAGCGACTCGCCGAGGCGTTTGCTAAGAACTCTGCACCTCCTCGGGATACCATCCCCGAGTGGGCCCGCGAGTTCGAGGATGTTTTCAGCAAGGAGTCCTTCGACAACCTGCCAGAGCGACGCCCCTGGGATCATGCCATCGAACTGGTTCCCAACGCGAAGCCGACCAACTGTAAGGTCTACCCCATCTCCCCTCTCGAACAGAAGCAGCTCGACAACTTCATCGAGGAGGGCATGGCTACTGGCAGGATTCGGCCGTCAAAATTGCCCATGGCGTCTCCCGTCTTCTTTGTGAAAAAGAAGGACGGCAGCTTACGGTTTGTTCAAGATTACCGAGCACTGAACGCGATGACAGTGAAGAACTGCTACCCACTCCCCCTAATCAATGATCTCATCAACAAGCTCAAGGGAGCTCGGTTCTTCACCAAACTCGACGTTCGCTGGGGCTTCAACAATGTGCGCATTCGTCAAGGCGACAAGTGGAAGGCAGCGTTTTGGACAAACCGCGGGCTCTTTGAGCCGTTGGTGATGTATTTCGGCCTGACCAATTCCCCTGCAACGTTCCAGACAATGATGAATGACATACTTCAGGACCTCATCCTCTCTGGCGACGTTATGGTGTACCTCGACAACATTCTCATCGCACATTCCGATATCCACCGTCACCGGGAAATCGTGAACGAAGTCCTCCGACGTCTCCGCGAGAACAAGCTCTACCTTCGCGCGGAGAAATGCGAGTTCGAGATGCCGTCGATCGAATACCTCGGGGTGATCATTTCCCACAACCATGTGGAGATGGACCCGGTCAAGGTCGCAGGTGTGGCGGAGTGGCCAGCTCCGGCTAATAAGAAGGAAGTGCAGCAGTTCCTCGGCTTCACTAACTTCTACCGGAGGTTCATCCGGGATTTTTCGCACATTGCCCGTCCTCTCTTTGATCTCACCAAGAAGGACATGGCATGGACTTGGGGCGCCAATGAGGCAGCTGCGTTTCTTGCGCTGAAGAACGCTGTAACCTCTACCCCAGTCCTGCGGCTCCCGGATGCTTCCAGGTCTTACCGCCTCGAAGCAGACAGTTCGGACTTCGCGACTGGTGCCATCATCTCGCAGCAGTCCCCCGTGGATGACAAGTGGCATCCGGTTGCCTTCTTCTCGAAGAGTCTTAACGAGGTCCAGCGGAACTACGAAATCCACGACAAGGAGATGCTCGCCATCGTCTGCGCCTTGGAGGAGTGGCGACACTTCCTCGAGGGCGCCGAGCACCCCGTTGAGATCTGGACCAACCACAAAAATCTGGAGTACTTCCGGAAAGCCCAGAATCTCAACCGTCGTCAAGCCCGCTGGTCCCTCTATCTGTCTCGCTTTGACTTCACCCTGCACCACCAACCGGGCCGCCTCATGGGCCGCCCGGATGCTCTCTTGCGCCGCCCCAACCACGGAGTCGCCTCGGACAACGCAGACGTCACGCTGCTGCGCCCGGAGCTGTTCCATGTCCGGGCCTTGGAGGGTCTCACTGTCTCTGGACCCGAAGCCCCTCTCGTGCACGACATCCGAGAGGCCCTCGCCGGTACCCCCGACATGGAGGAGCCCATTGTGTTGGCAGCACGTGAGCTCCTCAAGGAACGCGGAGTTCGCTCTGCTCGGGCTGCGGAGTGGTGAAAAGAAGGCGGCCTGCTCTACTTCCGTGGCAAGCTGGTGGTTCCACGCAACAACGACCTCCGCTGACGCATCCTTGAGCAGCACTACGACACCCATGTCGCAGGGCATGCCGGCCGCTTCAAGACGTTGGAGCTGATCTCTCGGAACTACTGGTGGCCCCAGTTGTCTCGACACGTCGGCCGGTATGTGGCCACCTGCGACCTGTGCTGCCGAACCAAGGCGCTCCGCCAACTCCCAATCGGGGAACTCCATCCCACGGAGGTCCCTTCGGAGCGCTGGGAAGCGGTGTCGGTTGACTTCATTGTGCATCTGCCAGACGCTCACGGGTATGATGCTATCATGGTCGTTGGGAAGCGCAGCCACTTTATAGAGTGCCACACCCGGCTCTCCGGTGAAGGTGCCGCCAGACTTTTCTACAAGAACGTCTGGCGCCACCATGGGCTGCCGTCTAAGTATGTCTCTGACCGTGGCTCCCAGTTCATCGCAGAGTTCACGCAGGAGCTGTGGAAACTTGTCGGGGTCTCATCGGCAATGTCTACGGCTTGGCATCCACAGACGGACGGCCAGACCGAGCGTGTGCACCAGGAGCTCAAGCAGTTCCTCCGGATCTTCACCAGTTACAACCAAGACGACTGGGACGAGCTGCTTCCCGCTGCAGAGTTTGCCTACAACAACCACATTCACTCATCCACGCAGCAGGTCCCGTTCATGACAGATACCGGTCGACTCCCTCGTATGGGCTTCGAACCGAATGGACTACGCTCAGCTGTGAACGAGTCGGCAAATGACTTCCGCGACCGCATCGCGTCCGGAGTGGCAGAAGCCAAGTCGGCACTGGTGAAGGCAAAGGATGAGTACAAGCAGTACTACGACCGCCGGAGGGTGTCGGTGATAGGCTGGCTACCAGACGCGCTCTGCACCAACTCTGTAAGGGCGTATTTTTGCGCTTTTACAGAGTTTACTCTTGAACCACTCGGTGTATCGTGTCGCGGTTGACAGTGTTGCGCTCAGTAGGACTTAAGGGTCTACTGCCCAGTCGACAACTGTGGATAGTGTCGACGATAGCAAGGCAGTCAGATCACTACTGTGGAACTGGTCTTATGAGTCTACACCAGGCTCAGGGCCATTAGTGACGAATGCTTGGACCGCGACCATTCCCCCAAAAAGGGATCTGTCGTTGCGTCGACTTCTCGAAAAGGGTCATTCTCTGCAGATGGGAACTTGGGCTGAAGGGCTGAGCAATGCGCGACGTTCTCAATAATAGAACTACTACTGGACAGGACTTGGCGTTACGAGACTTAAACCATCTTGTCGCGGCAACTCCCGGTTCTGAGTTGGACGTTTCCTCAGATCATGCCACGACGACGACTTGTCACATGTCAGGATCCATTCGATCACGGGACATTGAGGACGCGTCGCGGTGACACTCCCAAGTGCCACGGCGATTCGCGTCAACACCCAAACACACTAGAAATTGACACGGCTAGATCCGTGAGCCGAACCATGTGGGGGACGACTGGCGTGCCTAGGGCCATACTGTGACAATCAACCCAGAAACAAGTCGAAAAGAGAAGTGAATTCGAAGACTGGAGAATACAACCAGGTAGCTACAGTATTTATACCCAAATCCAGTCTGAGTCATATCTACAACTAATGAGTCATAAGACTATGTACCGCATGGAACGCTGGTCATGGGTTGTACTAGAACCTTCCGGAGCATATGTCGCGCAGCCTCGAATCGATGAAGATAATCCCTGGAACCCCTAGTCCGGACCGTCTGATGCCGTGATCCGTGATAAGATAAGTCGTGCCAAGATAAGATAAGATCGTCGATGATAAGATGAAAAAGTGGCCGAACTATGACATTACCCCCTCTCTAGGGTCGATGTCCTCATCGACTAGGCCAATGGGTAAGAAGACGTTCTCGTAAGGGTCGAAGAGCTGTCGTTGGGGATATGGAAGGCGCTCGTCCCTGGGCTTGTAGCGATGAATGAGATAGTCCCAGTGTCCAGCTTCGAGCGTTGGCAGGAGGCGAATGCGTGTGTCTGGATTTGATTGTTTCCTCTGCCAGTCTCTCAGGACGTCCTTCGCGTGGGTAAGGTGACGTGATGGTTCCCAGGTGTTCTCGCTGTGCGGCCATCCCTTCCATTTGACCAAGTACTGTTTTCCTCGGCCGACCTTTCGCTCTTTCACGATTTCTTCGACTTCCCACTCCTCTGCTCCTCCGATCATCTTGGCCACGGGTCTCTTCTCTCGGCGATGGGGGGGTGGTTCGTGATAGGGTGTCAACAGTGACTCGTTGAACACCGGGTGTCTTCGGTCCGTGTCCGGCAAATTCAGCTTCCATGCAGCCGCTCCAACCTTCTCCAGTATCTCGTATGGCCCCAATCTCTTGTCGCTCATCTTCTTCGAAGGCCTGTCCGTCTCGATATTGTCCCCCTCTATGTACACCTTCATCCCCACCTTCAACTCCGGAACTTCTTTTCTTTGTTTATCGTAGTATTTTTTCATTTTTTCTTTTGCTTTTTCCAATGCTGCTTTTGCTTCGTCTTGTATTTCTTTGATTCTTTTTACAAATTCCTCCGCCGACTCGTTCCTTGATTCCATCCGCTGCTCCACTCCCTTCCATGGGTGGTATCCGTGATTAGCATAGAACGGCGACATTTTGGTAGACGTGTTCATTTTGTCGTTGTATGCGAACTCCGCCATTCCCAGCCACTCCGACCAGTCCGTCTGATGGTAGTTGACGTAAATGCGGAGATAGTGTTCGATCTCCTGATTCATACGCTCCGTCTGCCCATCCGTGATGGGGTGATATGCGGTCCCCGGATTCATTTCCACGCCCAACATCCGATTCGTTTCCTTCATAAAGCCCTTGATGTATTGAGAGTCCCTGTCGGTGATGATTTTGCGGGGGACCCCGTGATAGCGGAAGATTTGGTCCCTGGTTAACCGTGCTACTCCTTCGCTGCTGATGTCAGTACTAATTGGTTCGACATGGATCATTTTGGTGCAGGTGTCACACCACACATGAATTGCGTCATACCCGTTACTGACCGGCAGGGGTCCGATCTGATCCATTGAGATGATTTCCCACGGCGCGTTTGGAACTGCATGCGGGTGCAAACTCCCTGTCCTGGCTCTTCTGGTCTTGGTCCGCTGGCACGCCTCGCACGTCTGGATGTATTTCCGAATTTGGTTTCCCATCCTTGGCCACCAGTAGTTCCTTTCCACCATCTCCTGCGTTCGGTTGATCCCAGCGTGTCCGACCAAAGGTGTGTCGTGGTGTAGTCCGATGATCTTGTCTCGTAGCTCCTCATTCCTCGGCACGTAGAGCTTCCCATGGTACGTGATGAGCCCATCTTCCTTTTTCCATCCGACGAGTGACTTCTCCAAGGCCGCTTTGACGCTTCCATCAATTGATCGAGTAGCCTTGATCTCATCGATTAGCTGCTGATCTTGCCCCTCGAATGTGACTTCTTGTGACCGGAAGAATTCGGGTTTCAGCAGAGTGATATCCTTGTTGTCGTTCTTGCCCTGATCGTGATCCGCTCGTCGAGATAAGAGATCCGCCTTGCGGTTGAGTGCGCCGGGCCGGTGTCGTAAGGTGAAATCGAATTCTGCTAATTCTGTGATCCATCGTGCTTGTCGTCGGTTGAGCTTTTGTGGCTTCCGGAAGTATTCGAGGTTCTGATGATCAGTGAAGATCTCAAACGTTTCTGTGGCCCCCAAGAGTAGCTGCCTCCATTCGTCGAGCGATAACATGATTGCAAGCATTTCCTTGTCGTAGATCTCGTAATTTCGCTCGGTTTCCGTTAATGCATGCGAAATAAATGCAATTGGGCGCCAAATGCCGTCTTGGTTTTGGCTCAAAACAGATCCTGTTGCCCCTTCCGAAGCATCGGCTTCCAGACGATATTGGCCGGTGTCATTTGGCAGTGCTAAGACGGCATCCTCCGCGATTCTCTTCTTTAACCCATCAAACGCCGCATGTTCATCCGGACCCCATGACCATCCTGCCTTCCCTGTCAGCCGCGTCAACGGCTTGGCGACCTCCCCATATCCCCGAACAAAACGTCGATAGAAGTTTGTGAATCCGAGGAAGGCTTGGACTTGTTTGACGCTCTTTGGTTCCGGCCATTCCATCACGCCCTTGATCTTGACAGGGTCCATCCGCATCGAGTTATGTCCAATGATTACACCCAGGTATTCGATTTCCGTGCGTTCGAACTCGCACTTTTCCGGCTTCAGGTATAATTTGTGCTTTTGGAGCAACTCGAGTACCCGTTTGGTGATTCGTCGATGTTCATCCAGATTTTCTGTGAAGATTAGTATGTCGTCCAGATAAACTACCACATGTCCCTCGTTGATTAGTTCCCGGAGTATGTCGTTCATCATGTTTTGGAACGTTGCCGGAGAATTTGTGAGACCAAAGAACATAACTAAGGGCTCGTACAGCCCTCGGTTCGTGCGGAATGCAGCCTTCCACTCGTCGCCCTCTTTGATCCGTACATTGTTATATCCCCAGCGGATGTCTAGCTTGGTGAAGAACTTGGCGCCGCACAGGTTGTGGACCAGTTCGGAAATCAGCGGTAGCGGGTACCGATTTCGGATCGTCATCTCATTCAGCTTCCGGTAATCTTGAACAGGCCGTAGCAAGCCATCCTTCTTCTTGACAAAGAAGAATGCCGATGCCATGGGTGATTTTGATGGCCTGATCCGTCCGCTGGCTAGGTTCTCTTGTAAGAACTCGTCGAGTTTGACCTGCTCGTTTCTCGATAAGGGGTACACCTTGCAATCCACTGCTTTGGAGCCTGGTTTGAGTTCGATCGCATGATCCCATGCCCGTCGGTCCGGTAGCGAGTCGAATGATTCCTTGGCGAATACTTTGACGAATTCTCGGTATTGATCTGGAATCTTTCCCTCGGTCATTCTCTCCTTCTCCTTTTCCGCTTCTTCTGCGAATTTCTGCGCCGGCGTCTCCTTCAGCCGTAGGTCTACCTCCTTTCCAAAGTCGATCAACAAGATCGATTCTCCCTCTTCCAGATCCGGTGCACCCGCGTCCAGGTCAATTGCATCCATGTCGATCATCGCTTGGTGCTCCTCGTGACCCCTCATTTGACATTGCTCTGGGCATCGGCTGAATTTCATTGTCTGCTCCTGCCAATCCACCTCGGGGTTGTGTTCCGTCAGCCAATCCAGGCCGATGAAGATCCGGGCTTTTCCCAGACACGTCAGAAGGAACGTGCGTGTCTCCACATGAGGACCGATTCTCATTCTCAAGTCGACGTAGTGCGTGATCCGACCGCTGATGTTCTCGGTGTTGTCGGCGTTACGAGCCACAATGGGTTGCGGAAGCTCTTGGATATCCAGCTTTTCTGCCCGTGCGTAGTCGGTGTCGATGCAGCAGGTACTGCAGCCACTATCGAGCAGCGCCTTGACTCCACGCGTTTTCCCTGAGTCCAGGCCCGTGATCTGGACATATACGTCCATCGAATGCCTCTTTCTTTCGGCTTGGTAACTGCGCAATTCCTGCGCCAATCTGCTGGGCTGGGGGCCCTTCTGTTTCTCGGCCGCCAATTTCCTCTAGATGGCACTTGGCACCCTGGTGCGTTTGGGTGCTTCTGGAACCTCGATTTTGGCAGATTCCTTGGGCGCTTCCTCCTTTTCCAAGGATCGAGCCTTCGGAGCGATGCTCCCCTTTTCGGTCTTTGTTGACGTGGTTCCTTCTCCACGAGCCATAAATACGTAGGAGTCCAATAATTTATCTGCAGCTTTCTGATCCTTTTTATCTTGTAAGTATTTTCTATTTAGAGCTATCTTTTCCTGGCGTTCTTTTTCTATCTCGGCAATAAGAAAATCGTGAATATTTGTACGTAGTGAGTCTGAGATCGTGTATGTAGATGAAATATTGTCCGTATCTTTAATTGAAACAAGTACAGAAAAACGTCCATAGTCCGGACGCTCCACCTCCTTGGCTAGAGGAGTGGAGCGCTTCAAAAACCCTTCTCGCGCAGCTTCTCGGCAATCTCCTTCAGGAACTCGTTGTCCTTGTCCCCGTTCTCGATTTCTTCCAGCATTGTGGCCCGATTGAAGAACGTGCGCTTCTTCTTGGGCTCCGGGCAGTTCCGCGCAATGTGCCCGGGCTGCTGACAGTTGTAGCAGATGATATTGCGGCCGCGGGCGTGGGTACGATCGATTTCCATCGGAACCGGTTCGTTGGCAGCGGGTCGGGTCGGAGCGGGTGTGGGCGCCACTGGTGCCGTTTGGGGACGGAACTGGGGAGGTGGTCGTTGTGTGGGGTGCCCATACGACGCTTTGCGCAACTGGTCACGCAGAGCATTGGCTTCGATGTTGATGCACCAGGCTTTGAACGCTCCATAGGCCTTGGGCAGAGGGACACCGGTGTTGTAGAGATGGCTGGTGATCTCGCTGCTGAGTCCGCGCTCCAGGAACTCGATGAGGATATTATCCTGGTCCCCCTTCTTGTATTCGCCTTTGTCGTCGGTGGTGTCAACCACATTGTAGCCTGCATCCGCGGCCAACATCTCAAAGTCGGAGATGTAGTCCGCGAAGGACCGTTTGTTTTGACGCAGGGCCATAAGCCGAGCAGCGGCGACTTGTTCCGCATTGGAGTCCCCGAACGCCCTCTGAAACTCCTCCAGGAAGTTCTTTGATGTGACTCCTGCCTTTAGTCCCTGGAAGCCATCGAAGTTGTGCTGCTTCCAGTTCATCGCCCATCTCGAGGCAGCGCAGCTCGTGCCGTTCTCGTTACGGAGGTAGGAGAGGACAAAGAGGATTTTGGTCTCATCTTGTGAGAACTCCGATCGATAGGCACCGATGTAAGTGGTGCACGCGTCCACAAAGCCCAGGTATTTGGACTTGTCGCCATCGAAGTAGGGGGGGTTGGCGGCGAGGGTGATGCGGTGATGCCCTGACATGGTAGGGGCAGGCGTGTGAGGTGGAGGCGAGGGTGGTTGTTCGGAGGGCAGTTCGTCGAGGTCGGGGATCTCGTCTTCAGGCGGTGGGAGGGCGAGGTAGGGGTCGGAGGGCCCGGGTTGGTTTTGATGCGCCAGATCGGGCGACGATGGTACGATGGGGGGAGGGGATGGACTCCCAGACGACGATGGGAATCGGTACGAAATGGTGGAATCGTGTGCTGTACAAGCACTCGAGGGAGGGTTCTTTTGCTAGCAAAAGGATCCCGGGCCTAGCTCTTCACGTGCCCGATGATCCCGAGGTGCGTTTTCCCGAAGGTCTCCGCAGCACTCCTTGTAGCTACCGTAAGGCTTGGGTCGGGCTCAACGTTACCCGTGGCCTGGTGCTGTTTGCTTGATATGAACCCTTCACTGCGATAGTGGAGGACGACTAGATGATTCGGTAAAAGGGTGAGTGGGGTGATAAGGGTTAAGAGGATATAGCGGGCGTAGCGGTGCAAGATGCAGGGTAAGAGGTATGAGGTAGGAGGGTATGAGGGGAGTCTTCGAATTATGTGACAATCAACCCAGAAACAAGTCGAAAAGAGAAGTGAATTCGAAGACTGGAGAATACAACCAGGTAGCTACAGTATTTATACCCAAATCCAGTCTGAGTCATATCTACAACTAATGAGTCATAAGACTATGTACCGCATGGAACGCTGGTCATGGGTTGTACTAGAACCTTCCGGAGCATATGTCGCGCAGCCTCGAATCGATGAAGATAATCCCTGGAACCCCTAGTCCGGACCGTCTGATGCCGTGATCCGTGATAAGATAAGTCGTGCCAAGATAAGATAAGATCGTTGATGATAAGATGAAAAAGTGGCCAAACTATGACACATACGGCTTCTTGGGGCGCCCACGTTGGTCTCACATGCCAAGACATACCCGTTGGCCAATCCAGCACGTCGTATTCCAAAAGTATGACGCGGTGGGTTGACCCACATCAAAAGTATCATATGGACTATGGGGCGGGGTCCTGATCACTCAGGACCTGTCCGATCGTTCAACTTTTCAATTACCCTAAAAGGCAACCGATCTTAGATAGCGTAGCTACTATGCAGTTGTACAGGACTTTACTAAGCAGCGTCGTAGACAGTATAAGTAGCATGTCGTCTCTTTGTATTAAGGAGCTTTCCCCCGGACTGTGAATCACTCTCATTTCAGATTGTTTTGTACAATTTGCGTGCCGCGTGATTCCACCCTAAGAAGTTCTGCTACCCCTGCCCGGTCGCGACGAGTTGCTCCCTGAGCACTTGTAGCTACTGTGATTTGAGTTTGAGTTGAGACATCAGAAAGTCGGATTCGCCGCATCTGGTTTAGTCGCGGCACTTAGTGTCGTCGCCTTCAGGCTTTGTTGAGATCGTTCCACACCTCTAGCTTGGCAGTGCGTCGACTAGTTGTGCTCGGGTTGTTTTGGTCAGTTGGCAGTGCGTCGACTTGAGAACTTTGGTTCCACACTTCTTGCTTGGCAGTGCGTCGACAAGTTGTGCTCGGGTTTTGGACATTGGATATTGGCTGTTAGTTGGCAGTGCGTCGACGCGGCATTTTGGTTTACTAGTTGGCAGTGCGTCGACTCAGTACTTTTGGTTGTGTCAGTTGGCAGTGCGTCGACTTGACATTTTGGTTCTACTAGTTGGCAGTGCGTCGACTCAGTATATTGGTTGTATCGGTTGGCAGTGCGTCGACTTGATATTTAGGGTTTTGCGTCGCCATCTAGACGCTGTCGCTACAAGGGATCTTAATACTTCGTATTAAGCTCTGACTTGTCATATCGTTGGTTGTGGATTGGATTAGTGTTGGTTGTGTTTGTATAGAAGATATTGGTTGAGACACCACTGTTTGCTATATATATATATATCCTTGTCGTCGACTTCGTCTTCCGCGACTATTGGATCTGCGTCTATTGAGAGCTGTGATACTGGTGTTCTGTCCACCCCAAAGCCCTCGCATCTTTCACACACTGAGAAGCTGATTACGAGGAGTGTGAACGTGTTTATATTTGGGTTTACTTTCATAGTAGATTCACTTGTGAGCACGCCCTCAGCATTTCACCGGTCAGTAATGGGTATGACACAATTCACATGTGGTGTGACACCTTCACCAAAATGATCCATGTCAAACCAATTAGTACTGACATCAGCAGTGAAGGAGTGGCACGGTTGACAAGGGACCAAGTCTTCCACTATCACGGGATCCCTCGCAAGATCATCACCAACAGGGACTCACATTACATCAAGGGTTTCATGAAGGAAACGAATCGGATGTTGGGTGTGGAAATGAATCCGGGGACCGCATATCACCCAATCACGGATGGACAAACAGAACGCATGAATCAGGAGATCAAGCACTATCTCTGCATCTACGTCAATTACCATCAAACGGACTGGTCAGAGTGGCTGGGAATGGTGGAGTTTGCATATAACGATAAAATGAACACGTCTACCAAAATATCACCGTTCTATGCGAATCGCAGATATCACCCATGGAAAGGAGTGGAGCAGCGGATGGAATCAAGGAACAAGTCGGCGGAGGAGTTTGTAAAAAGAATCAAAGAAATACAAGACAAAGCAAAAGCAGCATTGGAAAAAGCAAATGAAAAATGAAAAAATACTACGATAAACAAAGAAAAGAAGTTCTGGAATTGAAGGTTGGGATGAAGGTGTACATAGAAGGGGACAATATCGAGACAGACAGGCCTTCAAAGAAGATGAGCGACAAGAGATTGGGGCCATACAAGATACTGGAGAAGATTGGAGCGGCTGCATGGAAGCTGGATTTGCTGGACATGGACCGAAGACACCTGGTGTTCAACAAGTCACTGTTGACACCCTATCACAAACCACCCCCCATCGCCGAGAGAAGAGACCCGTAGCCAAGATGATCAGAGGAGCAGAGGAATGGGAAGTCAAAGAAATTGTGAAAGAGCGGAACATCAGCCAAGGAAAACAGTACAGTAGAGTTGTGAATAGGGAATACTTTTGGGAAGACCCAGGCCATCCCAGATTTGTATTCCTTACCATGGATATGTCATAATTCGACCCTTTTTCATCTTATCATGGACAATCTTATCTTATCACAGATCACGGCATCAGACGGTCCGGGTTAGGGGTTCCAGGGATTATCTCTATTGATTTGAGGCTGCACGACACATGCTCCAGAAGGTTCTACTACAACCCATGACCAGTGCTCCATGCAGTACATAGCCTTATGACTCATTAGTTGTAGGTATGACTCAGACTGGATTTGGGTATAAATACTGTAGCTACTTGGTTGCATTCTCCAGTCTTTGAATTCACTTCTCTTTTTGACTATTGTTTTGGTTGATTGTCACAGGATATTCCATATGAGGTGTGGAATATAGTGGTGAAGGGCAAAGTGGGGTAACTAAATTGTATTCCTTGTGACCTGTATTCTTCATCACAGTATTCCATATGAACAGTTCTACTGTACTTGGTCAAATGGATGTGACAATCAACCCAAAAACAAAGTCAAAAAGAGAAGTGAATTCAAAGACTGGAGAATACAACCAAGTAGCTACAGTATTTATACCCAAATCCAGTCTGAGTCATATCTACAACTAATGAGCCATAAGGCTATGTACTGCATGGAGTGCTGGTCATGGGTTGTAGTAGAACCTTCTGGAGCATACATTGCACAGCCTTGTATTGATAGAGATAACCCTCTTGAGCCCCTAACCCAGACCGTGTGATGCTGTGATCTGTGATAAGATAACCTGTGTTGAGATAAGATAAGATTGTCAATGAAATGATGAAAAAGTGATTGAAATATGACAGTACCGGAAAGTCTTGTTCACTCAATCGTCAGGACGGATTCCTTAGCTACTTTGCATACATTGAGTCTACATGTACAGTAGTGAGTTGCATAAAATTCTGAGGCAACAAGTCACAAAATGAGTGAGTGCGACTTGATTATCCAGACCGTTGCCATTTATCCGGACCATTGCAATCAACAGTAACAATGTACCTGCTGATTTCTTTCATATTGCAGATGAGATGAAGGGCCAGGATATCAACAAAAATGTGCACAAAAGGTTCTTTCATTTCAGACCTTGATATCTTGCTGATCAGAGTGCGGTGCTCCTTAAGAGCCACAGTATCCTGTATTCCAGGAAAGCTACATAAGGTAGTGTCTTTTTCATCATGTCTTGATTAAGAAATATAAACATATCTTATGAATGAACCGGAATATCAGACATACAAACCGATTTTTAGAGCCTCTGTTATTTGCGCCCCTCCGGAGTGCCTCGGAGAATGGCTAAGATTTTTTTTTTTACCGAAAAGCCGCTTGCAAGCTCAAGGGATCTCAAACCATGCACCATCACTACTTCTCAGTCCTGGACCCCGTCAGCGGATGTACCATTTCAAAAACACTGAGAGCAAAACAGAATTCGTGCTCCTTTTATTGTAAAAAAGACAACCCTGGCCTAATTTCCATTTTTAGTTCCAGGTTTACATGTATGAGGCCCACGAGTGGAGGTCCAATCCCCTTGTGGACGGATGCTCAGGCCTGAGGCTGCGGAGGTCCAATCTGACGTGCGGACGAAACAATGGAGAATTCACCTCTGGCGATCCGTTTGCGGACGACTTCCGAGCAAATACGTGAAGACGGATCTGACCAAAACGGCGATTTTTGGATCCGACATCGAAAGGCATATGTACGCCGCTCGCCTGCTGTGCATTACGGCGCAGTGGCTATACAGGAGGGTTCTTGCACCCGATCCAGATCTTGTCGTCCTCATGCCTCGAGCATCGGTGAATTTGGAATTCCGTTCGCTTGACCTCGCTTGAACTCAGCGCAAGACTACTATCGTGCGGGGAGACCGTTCGATGGTGTACCAGCTTAGCAATGGCTGAACGTACTCCGCCTCTGACTGTGCCGACATCAGTCATAATTTGTAACCCACAGAGGCAAAATCAAGCACATATGACCAGGTCGCTCAGTGCTTAGCCCTTTCCTTTTGACTTTTCCACCTCGCAAGGCGAGCTATTTTTTCTTTAGTCTTCGCAAATCTGCGGGCCACGTGGAAAGAAGATCTCCATGCTCAGTGACGCGTTCTTAGGTGCGACGGTTCCCACTGCGTGCTACCTCATCGTGGTATCTAATTCGAGGAATACATCTAGGTCCACTTCTCACTCCTTTCCTTATTGTTCTCCTTTACCCATTAACTTCTTATAATTGTAAGCCCGCGCTGCGACTACCTTTTCTGCTCGCTGACGGAAGTGCCCAGGTGTTGATGCCCGAGTCATTCGTGGCCGACAAACGTCTCTGGCGCCAAGGGACACGCAGTCAGCTGCATCCGCAGCATGGATTTCGGCCGCTAACTCTAACGGAACCCTCGACAAATCGACATCGCAAGTCGGATTTTATAAACAGCTGATCTCAACGTCGGCACTGCCCGCAGCGAATGCGACCGTGACAGTCAACGCTGTTTGCTACGATGTTGTCACCCTCTGGGTGAATGGGCAACCGGTGGGACAGCAGACGAAGAATCTCACCACGCCTATTGTCGCGCGCGTTAAACTGAACACGACCCAGAACATCTTCTCAGTGTTGGTGCAGAATGGGACTTGCGTGCCGGCGATCAGTGCGTCGATTCGGGTCGACTTCTCCGGCTCGGTGTCGTCCAGCACCTTCGTCTCAGACTCGAGCTGGTTGGCGACCACGAATGTACCGATTACTTTCCCCAACCCGCAGAATCTATCGCTGTTTTCGCCGGTCGTCTCGCGCACCCTCGCCAAGCCACCAGCACCCTCTGCTGCAGTGTCGGCCTCCCCCATTTCACTGGAAGACAGCTCGTGGATCTGGTCAATCACATCCGCATTCCTCGTCGCACCTGTCGGCACTATAGGCTTTCGAAAGAGGTTCTCAATCCCGGCGGGCAAGACAGCTGTTTCTGGTACAGCTCTCATCTCGTGTGATAACACCTTCTCGCTGTACATCAACGGCGTGTTCATCGCTGCACCCCCCTCCGGCCCGAATACTACGACCGAATTTTATTACTCATGGACATACGCGCAACAAGTCGCATTTCCGATCGACTCAACATCACTCGTCTTTGATATCATAGCGCAGAATTTCCTCTACGACATGCAGACGCCCCAACTGTCGTTTGCTGGGCTCATCGCAGCGATGCAAGTCGACTACTCGGACGGCAGCTCGGATACTGTCATAACCGACCAGTCCTGGAATTTCAGTGCGAACTTCAGCAGCCCCAGCGCCTTTCTTTCCATGTCGTCCATCTCGCTGACGTCGGCCATCGTCCAGGGCAAGTTTGGGATGGCGCCGTGGGATCAACTGGTCGGCACATCCGATGTTCTTGCCGCGCCGAAGGTGCCCCAAATCATGGCGAGCACAGACGGTGGCGGCAACCAGAGCCATCACCGGGACATGAGCTGGGTGCTGATCATCTGCCTCGTCATTGCTGTGGTTGTGATTGTCCTCGCTGTTGCTTTTCTCTACTTCCGACGAAGGAGACAGCTGCGTCAGGATCAACCCACGGGCCACATAGCGCAGCTTTTGCCGACGAAGTCCCGGAGTTACGAACGACTGCGTCACAGCACATTGCGCAGCTCTGCGCCGGAGGCCATGCCGCCGCCGCCCAGCTACGCGGCCTCCACTACGCCCAGATCGGTCTACGATGCTCCTGCCGCTAACAACAGCAAGACTGCATTTCGAGTGATCAACACCGATGATATATCTTCTAGTTAGTTGGAACAAGCGATGAACGTTTTATATCTTTGCTGTGTAAATTACCGCTGGATACGTCACCCTTATATGTTATTTGGAAGGCATAGCTTGAGCAAACGTCTTCGAGCTTCATGTCCCACATGTCGTCCGGCACCTTGACCACTTCCTCCGCTAAGATAAGTGTCAACGATATGCACCGAGGCTGGCAGGCGGACTCACGCAAGGGTCCCTTCTCAAGATCGACGAGATTCTGGACGGGTCGTTAGCCCTCAGTCGATGGCCAGAAGGCAACACGAATGGACAGTACCTGTTCTAGATGCGACTTCCGAGAAGCACCGATGAGGATCGAGTCACCGTGCTCCCTTTTCATGAGAGAGTGGTGATTAATCCAGCGCAGCGCAATCTCGGGCAGCGTGAGCCCATGCTTCTCGCCAACCTGTTTGATCTCGGCAAGCGCTTCAAAGTAGTTGTCATTCCAGTAGCGCTTCCGGTACATCTGGAACACAGATGAGATCAGAGAGCTGCAGATGGAAGCGTGCGACTTGCCGTGCCAGCTGCATGGCTGCTGTCGAAGCGAGACCCAGGGTCCGCTCCACTGTCTGCGCCGGTGTAACGCCCAGTGAAGAAGCCTCCGCCAACTGCAAGGCATATGAATCATGAACGCTGCGACCACACGACGTCATACTGACGTGGGTTGTATTCGTAGAACGCAATCCCAAACTTGCGAAGACAGGGAAACAATTCTGGCTCCGCCGCCCGGTGGATCGCGTTGTAAAGTCCTTCGTATGCCGTAGGCTTCACCCATCCATGCCGTTCGCAGATCCCGACGATCTCGGCAACCTCCCAGGCGGTGTAGTTGCTGATGCCCAGGCGTTTGAATTTCCCCTCCTTGTAAAGTTCGTTGACCGCGCGCAGCGAATCTTCGAAAGAGTTGCGGTGGTCAGGGCCGTGCAGATACCACATCTCAACCTGGCTGCCCGAGTGTGAGAGAGAATTCAAGGACTTCGAAACGATGTGCGTACTCAGTCTTGAGAGCGTCGAGCGACATCTGGCAGAACTTGCGGATGCTTTCAGGCGAATGATCGCCGATGTGCTTGAGCCCCAGTTCGGGCTTGGGCGATCATTGAGGACGATCCACGCGTAGACGATGCTGATTCATTGACGCACCGGCACAGAGAATAGCTTGGTCTCCATCAACACCCCCTTGGTCTTCCAGTCCATATTGCCGAAAAGTTGCTCGTTGGCGCCGGCGTACTTCGTGGTGGCCACGGCTGAGAAAGAGGTCCACCGTCGCCTCGATCTCTTCGGGGTCCGAACACGAGCTCCGTTCGTGGCTGGAGCAGCGAAAGACAACGCGTCCTGTGATCCGACGCATGAGAGGAGTGGAACTACCGTAGAGACCTTGACAGATCTCAACTAACGAGAACAACATTCAAAATGCTAATTTCTTGACGGTGTCCTGGTTCACCCTATGGCAACATTTCCAGTGCGCTTGGCCGTCTCTAGTGAGAGGCAACCAACTCGCAATGGTGGGCTCGCAATGATGGAACAGCAGACGCTGAGGGGGAAATGCGAGACGGCAAGTCTCTCCTGGGCAGCGCTACATTAGCCGCTCGCAAGCGATCACCGTCATAAGCCAAGGTCGAGCTTCGATCATACCATCAATTCACACGCTGTCTACGTGATCTGCACTGTCAAACCTGGTTAGAAGCAAGTTGAGCCAAGTTGAGCCAGTTGTGGGGGTACATCGGTAACGCTTCAAAACGAACTAAACCAGACGTTATAAGAACAAATCTTCGATACCATCAGATGCTGAATCTGGCTCCGCAGCGATTGGTACACTCGATGGCTCGGACCCGCGTCTCCATCGTCCAACCTGTCCCTGTAGCAAGGCCTCGATCTCAGCCAGATCTGTGCATTTTCTCAACAATAATTTGAAGGCGTTGTACCAAGGTTTCCGATCACTGGAGATCCAGCGGGAGTCAGTTTAATGGGATTCTGGGCCTTGGAACAACCTGCCATTGGAACCCCAGGATATTCTTGATATGTGCAGCGATTGTTGGGAGCGAGGCCGTGTCCAGTTCCTTGCACAGCGCAAGGTACTCGAGAGAAATCACAACGGGATCAGGTGGAACACGATTATCTGAGAACAGACTGCGGCTGGATCAGCTTTCATCGCTCCGACTCGGATGAGGACATAATACCACGGATTGCCCAGCAGAGTTTCTGCAACCATAAGCCCATCAGCTCCAGTTTCATCCAAATTTCGACGAAGACAGTCCCAAGTGCGAACATTCCCATTGCTGACGACCGGGACTCGAAGAACGTCTTTCAGAATCTTAACCTGAGCGAGATCAGCTGGACCGTGGCGTCTGTGTCTCGCAGAGACTGTGCGGGCATGCAAAGTGAGCCAAGAAACGCCGTTTGCTTCCAGCCGCTGAGCCAATTCGCTGGTCTTCGTAGCTGGCTGGCACAGTCGCAGTTTGGCGGAGATTGGTACGGTGAAAGAATGAGCCATGCACGAAACTGTTGAGCAAAACTTGAACAATAGCATCGAGGCAGCTCATGAAATGAACAATCTCTCACCGATATTTTCCACCAGGGGCCAATCCCGTGGGCTGAGCAGGTACGCTCCGAAATGTTCGTCCATAGCTGACTGTTGCGGACACCCCAAATTCAGGTCTGCATAATCTTGAGATGAAAATATACCGATCAGTTGTTTCTCACCGATTCCTTGGCAATAGTTCTGCACTTTCCGCCCCGCATCAACGATCTGCTGAGGATCGTTGCCGCAAAGCTGTATTACTACGGGATGCTCTTCAGTGGCAGGGAGGAGTGATAGATCCCGCAAATGAAAATCTAGATAGTCGCGGTCGTTTAAAAGGCGGTCAGGCTTGAGCATCTGCGTGTAGACCAGGGTCGTGTTGTAGCGCTGCACGAGAGTCCGGAATGGGAGGTCAGATTGGTTGACCATGGGCCCAGCGACCCTGGAAAGCATCCTCGAGTCAATCACTAGATATATCTGATTACAAAAGAATAGGACGGCTTAAACAGTCACCGACTTGGATAGTTAGCTCCAGCTCAAGTTGGAGTGCAGTTGAAACGATCAACAACGCGCCTGATCTTCAATCAAATATTATTGATCATCGATCAAGTTCTACAGCTGCTCCACTTCCCATGGTCCTCCACTTTGAACGGCGGCCTCGCGGATGATGCGCTAAATCTCTCATGAGCTGCAGAAGCAAAGTACACGGCATATGTTGCGCATTCCAGTCTCACGAACTAGGTTCGCGGCACATGTTGACATTACACGCTCTTCCAATTGTGCTCGATGTTCTCACCTGGGACAGTTCGAGTCCCACAGACTCGGATCTCAAGGCTGGGCAATGATGCTCATCTGCTGTCGAAAATAGATTCGAAGTAAATCAGTGATACTTTCGCAGGAACTCGGGCCGTCGACAGATCTGGGCAAACAACTCAACCCGGAAAACAGCAGATAATCAGAAACTTCGAAGCCTGAATTGGTGTCTCGTCCAATCTACGCCGGCCTATTCACTGACGCCGAATTCCAGAACCCTGGCAAATCCCGCTCGGGAAGACGACTAATTCTACCATGCATGTCCACAGTCGTGCTCTCGGTGGCACAACAGTCATCCTCGTTTGGCTTTCATGGCGTGATTGATCTGTTGCGTACTTTCGAGATAATCGAACCGAACGCACGTCCAGAGCTTATCTGAACCAGATTTGGTACACAAAATCAAGAGTTTAATCTGTTGACTATCGTTCCCAAGTCTCTCGCCGCTGCAGACATCGGGGATCTCACGAGAAACTCAGTCAACACGTGAACGCTCGAGCTGGTCATCGGAATCCATGACAGGTGCTGATATTGAGCACTACATAACTTCCTCTGTGATGTATCCTGTGTAGAGAGCGACCCGTAATGGTCATTCTCTCACACACAGCCGGGTGAACGGCCCTGCGTTGACGTCGTGCACTCTGATAGACCGTTCGGGCGACTGGTGAAGGGGCCACCGAGGTCTCTTCAATCACAAAACATTTCGCCGCCCCACCCTCAGATTTAAATCGGGACAGAGCGGTGAACTTGGCACGAAGCTTTCGGGACTATTCCTGGGAGATGTTTTCGACCCCGTGCCCTCAGAAAACCCCTTCCGTCCGTCCTTCTTGCAGCTCTTTTGTCCTTCTGTGATTTTCTCTGTCATTCTTTACCATTGATAATTCCGGCTCACGCGTGTCGGCCCTGATCAGATGTCTGCACACGCAAGTTCCACTTACTCGAGACGTCGGCTACGGCCTACCGTCTGGGGTTGTCCCTTAGGATCGTGTTCTCAGCCCCCCGCCGCTTAGCCGTCGTGAATCTTGACCATTCCGGACCTGATGTCCGGCCCAAGGTGGATCTCATCTATGCCTTCTATCAGGGGTACGGGGAACAGTATCTTCCTGCCCGTGGCCGGTTGTTGAAACCGGTAAAGCCGAGGAACCGACTCCGCCCTCCAGTAAGTCAGAGTCGCAAAAGAACTGTGGCAATAGCCAAATCGGGAAATCTACGTTCGAGACCATAGAAAAAATGCTCTGCCAAACTGTGGGGTCTAGAGTCTTTTTGCCAGACGAATTTCATGGCCAGCTGTTTTCTCTCTCTCGCCCTCTCTTTGTCACAGCTCAAACAATGCGATTCGACGACACGCCTTATGATCGTTGGCCTGCGGCTAATGGCTTCTAGTCCGTTGACTTGACTGCGCTGCCGCATGCAACGGAAAGTCCCGAGAGGGAGGCGCCGACGCTTTCAACTGCGAGACTGCACTCCAGGGAAATACACGGCCCAGCACACGATCGCGGTTCTTCGGCCTTCTAGAGTTCGACGTCGCGCGCGCGTTTGAAGCTAATCTTGAACGTGGAATTCGCGCCTGCTCACCTCGCCGATCAAGATCACGCATTTCACTGGCAAGTCGTCCGTCAGCAGTATCGGCGACCGCGAGTCATGTGCACGCGGGTCATCGCTGCCATATCCAGCAGTGCGCCTTAATGAGACATTGTACTGTTATGGGAGATTTGTGTCCTCGGGTGATGCACTACAAAGCACGGAGATTGCCATAGAAATACATTGCAGGTTTTGGTAGAGATGTCAAACATAGGTATAGTCCTAGATAGAAGATGCAGCCAATCCATCCATCTACGTAAGAGAGTCCGACTGCAGTGAAGATGCAGCTAGATTTGCACAGAGAAGATACCGAGAGGTCTAGGAACGACGGAGGGAATACAGAGGACGCAGGGGCTGTGTCCTACGGGCTGGAGCTGAGGCTGGAGCAAGGACTCGGACTGGGAGTAGAGCTGGGACTGGGTGCGTTGGGGCCAACAATGACCTTGAGGACCATGTTGCCCTCCTCGTCTTTGCCCTTTGCCAGAAGATCGAACGCATGCCCGATTTCGGAAAGCTCAAAGCGGTGGGTGACGAGCTTGTCGACAGCATCAAGCTTGCCCTCCGCCAGCAATGCGAGAGCAGCGGGATACGTGTTGGCATAACGGAAAGAGCCGAGAATGTCGACCTCGCGTGTAGCCGCATTGGACAAGGGCAGCATAACGTTCCGAGACCCCATCCCGATGAGCATCACTTTACCCCCTGCGATCGCGGCCTGGAGGAAACGAGGACAGTAAAATGAACGGAAGGCGGAAAAGCAAGAAAGAGGAATGCGTAATTAGCTCGAGAAGATCCCGCACAAGAGGCTCACTTACGTGGACGGACATCTGTATGCAAGGCTCTGCTCCGGTACATTCGAATACAGCGTCAAACCCGTCGGTCTCTCCGAACTTTTCAAGCGCGAGCTGGATGGTTTCTTTAGAGCGGCGCAGCTGGTCCTCTGCCGTCTTCGGTCGGTCCGTCATGGGCAGGCAGTACGTCTCGCTTGCGAAGCCGTGCTCCTTGGCGAAATCTAATCGCGTTTGGTTGATGTCGATGGCGACGACGCGCGAAGCCCCCATGGACTTGGCAACAGTGCAAGCGAGCAGTCCGATGGCACCGACACCAAAAACGAGCGTGGACTGCCCCTGGGAAAGTTGGGACCGACGTGCGGCATGTAATAACACAGATAGGGGCTCTGCCAAAGCGGCTTGCTCGAAGGAGCAACCAGATGGAAGACTGCGATGGACGTGAGTAAGCACCACATGGAAACGGGAGGAAACCAGCTGACGGATGGAGCAGAGAGGCAGGGTGGTTCATGTGCGTTTGGAGAGTGCCGTCCAGATGGGGGAACGTCTTGGCGCTGCTGCAGAAACGCATGTCTTTGCATAGATTGTAGCGCCCGGAGTCGCAGTAGGAGCACTTGTTGCACATGACGCCGGCCTCGATAGCGACGCGCTGGCCCACGACGAGGTTTTTCACACCCGGCCCCAGTGCAGTGACGACACCGGACGATTCATGGCCGAGAACAAGTGGAGCTTGCAGAGCAAAATCGCCGTTGCGTCCATGGAGATAGTAGTGGACTGGAGGAACGCAGTCAGCTTAGGCAAGGAGCAGAAAGGACCGCGCATACGGTCGCTCCCGCACAAGCCAGTCGCGAGAACGGCGACTTGAGCCTGGCCTGCCTGAGGAGGCCAGAGGGTGCGGTCTTCAAGGCGGAGGTCCTTGGCACCATAGAGAACGGCAGCGGTTTGCGAGGACAGGGCCATGGGGGACATTTTGCGAGATTTGAGGTAGATTCTGCATGAGGGGCGCGTTTTATACAGTCCAGTTTCAGAACAGACCGGACCGAGCATCCGAGCAGGATTCGCGTGACAAGTGTTCGATCTGATCAGACAGAAATATTGCTGGGACAAACAATGGGGCAAACAAAGATGCTCTGAGCTTATATCGGGGCTGCTTCGAATTCTTCGACTCGTGCCTTGTGTGGCTCCCGTTACGGAAACTTTGAGTCACCTCGATACACACACCTCCAAGTCAATGTACACGAAAAACAAAATACCTTTGCGACTGAATCGGACGCATGTCGAATTCCGGCCCGTCGGGACGAGGATCCGATGTGGGATGCGGGGTATCAGATCTCCGAGAACCGCCATCATTCGCGTACATTCTGACATAGCGAGCACCGTACGTTTGCGAGGATTCTGACTGCGATTCACGAGAGCCCGGGCAGGGCGAGCAACCGATGTCCCCGGCGGCTATGTGTTGCTATCCATCGGATCTTCTCGTCGGCTCGGCAAGTCTCCATCGCACAGACTTTTACAATTTTCCTGCGTGTGCTGTCCAACGTTGACGGCTCTGCGGTTCTGAGATCTCGGCCCAGAAATATATTGGGACACTGGCTCCTTGTCACATACTCGGCATCCTCGAGGCCCTACAAGACACCGCCCACTTGGTACCGCCTCCACGGGTCTACTCTCGCCGCTGCCTTCCATCCACCTTTTCGCCGGTCCCCAGCATCGACTCTCCGCGGTACTGGCTAAAAAACATCGTCGGCACATGATGGGCCGGCAGGGCTCTGGCAGATCTTTCAGGGCTTCGAAAGATTCTTTCTCGCATCGTCTGTCGAACGCATATAAATAAAACATCACGCGGTCAAGGTTTCGCAATGCTACTGGGCTACGAAGAAGCCACGGCGGCGACCTCCTGGCCGGCTCGAGTACACAGGCTGCTTGCCGGGAGGTGCCGGCCGGAAAACGTCCAGCAGATGTGAGAGAATGCGGCGGAAGCCGCGCGCGAAGTAACACAACATGCGGGGCAGGCGGGGTTTGTGATGAAGGTGTGATGCAAAATTGACAGCAAGAACTGCGTTCTCAAAGATCTCCTGACCGGGTGATCGGCCCGGTGTAAGATTGAGCAGCGAGTTGTTGACCCTGTACGAGAGAGATCAGATTCATTCGGGTCCCGAACCGAGACGTGTATCGCGCACCAGATTTCGGAATCTTAAATAAAACTGGCTGCAGGTGCTGCCAATGGAGACGATTTCACTGGCCACCGGCCAGAGTCGAGAGCTCGATTTACGACTCGGAAATAAAGCCAGAGTGGCCAGAGTCTCAAAGAGTTGTTGAAAACGAGGCGTCCAGTCTCAAGTGTTTGTTAACATGGCGCGGTCTGCCTTTCAGCCGGCTCGGATAATAGTCATGACGGATGGGGTGCAGATTTTGAGGGGCATTTTCAGTCTTCTCGTGGAAATGAAGGTGGGCGAGGCTTGAAAGTAGGGCTGCGCACCGCATCACATCGAGTGCCGGTCTTAATAGACGGAAGGAAGTCTACCAGGCTGTACAGCGAGCATGAATAGACGGGGACGAGGACGATGAGGGCGGAGAATCCATAGTTCCGGTGACGTCCGACTGGAGTTCGAGATTAGGGCGGTGGAAAGATAAGTTGTAATCGCAGGTCGCCGCCCTCTCAGAGAAGTGCGGACGAGGTCACTTCCGTTTGGTAAATCGGGGGGCCTACCGTTGCATGCAGCTGTGTAAAATTAGGCTTAAGTTATGCACGTTGTGGTTCAAACCAGACCTGGAGTGTCGGTAGCCATACCAATGGTACCAATACCAAATAGGGAAGCGCCGATCATTATCACTGTTCGAGACGCTCTTTCACTAGACCAAATTCTACTTCTGCTCCTCGTCCTGGCTGCCAAGCACGACAAGAAGAGGACTTCAGGGTCTGGACTGCACTTCTTACTCCTTCCCTCTTCCAAACGAGCGATAGATGCCACAGTCAGTCCGCTCAGCAGAGTTCTATCATGGTGCAGAGATAGGATGGATGTCGCACAGTGAAACCATCACGTTGCAGCCGGCGCTGCCTATTGGTCTCCCGTCGTCCCGTCCGATAGGAACACCATCCGTTCACCATCTATAGTGATAATCAGCCTTCGACTCGGAATGGTTCAGGACAGCCCACACCGTTCAGAATCCTTGGTTTCCTTGGTGTGAAATTCCGCCGCGATTGAACCGCTATTCAGCCTGCAATCCACACGCGATTCGTCGTATCTCTTGCAAAGAACGCGCCGCAGGTCGCAATTCTGGAGCTGCAATTCACCGTAGAACAACCGGCAGTCGTCGGCCACGTGCAGACACAGGAACAGACGTCTACAGATGAAACGCCGTCGACCAATATCTCCGTCCAGCCCCGCCGTTGGCACAGAGACCCAGTCCATCGGCGTCTCCCGTGTTGTCCCGATGGTGATTTTGTGATGTTCTATATATATATATACCCCGGATGGTTGTACCACTCTTCACGTTTTTCGGCGCTCGCCTTTTCCCTCTCACTCTCCTGTTGCTACTCTTTCCATTGTCATGACCATCGTTCTCACCCCGTACTGGAGCAACGGCGTCCAAAAGCTCAAATCCGGGCCGCAACGTGCGTGTCTTCCGTTTAGCAGCTCGCATGCGCACACCGAACGATGCCCTAGCCGCACCCAAGCCCAAGAAAGGCCTGACGCCCCCGACGCTCGAGGAAGGCATCCATGCGATGCGATGCATGAAGCAGCTGCGCTCGAAGGACAAGGACATCGAGAAATACATCTACCTCTCCATGCTCAAGGAGCAGGACCCGCATATGTTCTACAGCCTGTGTCTCCAGCATATGTCCGAGTTCACGCCCATCATCTACACGCCCACCGTTGGACAAGCATGCCAGGAATACAGCCAGAACTACCGGTGCGTTCGACCAGTTGCTTCATCCCGTTCCGTGGCTGACCGATCGCCCTCCCGCAGACGACCAGAGGGTCTCGTACGTTGACAGTTCCTGCTCTTAGCTCCAAAGTTGAAACGCGTTTCTGCAAGTTTGTTTCCATCAAGGACAAGGGCAACATTCTGTCCGTCGTGCAAAACTGGCCAAAGATGGCTGACGCAAGGATCAGCGTGGTTACTGATGGTGCGTCCGCGGATCGCCGACGGCTGTCGTATTGTGTTAACAGCGCCGATCGCGGCAGGTTCTCGTATTCTCGGCTTGGGTGACCTCGGGATCAATGGGATGCCGATTTCCATTGGTAAATTGTCCCTTTACATTGCCGGAGCTGGGTACGTTTACAAGATTTGTCCGGCCAGAAGTCTAACTGCCATCTAGAATCCGTCCACAGTCGACCGTCCCCATTTGCCTGGACTTGGGGACGAATACCCAAAAGTACCTTGACGACCCGCTCTACCTCGGACTCCGCCAGCAGCGTGTGCCGACGGAAGAGATGACCGCATTTATGGATGAGTTCATGCAGGCCATGTCCGTGACATTCCCGAAGCTGCTCGTTCAGTTCGAGGCAAGCTCAGCCTTCTGTCAAGTGGACTCGATGCTTAGCCTTTTCAGGACTTCTCGACCGACCACGCATTCCTATACCTTGTAAGCCCGTTTGTGCGTCACTGGCTCGTCATTCCTCCCTCACACCTGCGAACAGGAAAGATACCGAAACCGATACCCCGTGTAAGTTCCAAGATTGCCTTTTGCATCTGGATCGCCGGCTGAGGGAAATCCAGCTTCAATGACGACATTCAAGGCACCGGTGCCGTTGTTCTCTCCGGCTTCATCAACGCTGCTAGGCTCGCATCAGCCGGTGAGACCCCGCCGAGTGGTTCCGGAGTGCATCCGCCGGTGCTGACTGACGGCCCACAGCATCGGGCCAGCCTCTCACATCGCACCGCATCCTGTTCTTTGGCGCGGGTTCTGCTGGAGTGGGAGTTGCCATGCAGCTGATGAGCTTCTTCACCCTTGAAGGCCTGTCGGAGCAGGAGGCGCGAGAGCGAATCTATCTCGTCGACTCGCAGGGGCTGATCTATACCGGTCGTGGCGCGTTGGCCGAGCACAAAGAATGTATGCGCTCTGGCCTCGGATGCAATGGTTCTCTAAGCTCTCCGCAGACTTCGCTCGCCGCGATTACACCGGTCCCCCCATCAAGAACTTGCTCGACGTCCTCCAATACGTCAAGCCTACTGCTCTCATGGGACTCTCGACCTCTTCGGGCGCGTTCTCGACTGAAGTGATCCAGACCATGGCCGCCCTGAACCCCTTGCCCATCATCTTCCCCCTCAGTAACCCCGTGAAGCTGTCCGAGTGCACCTTTGAGGACGCTGTCACCCACACAAATGGCAAGGTCTTGTTCGCCTCTGGCTCGCCGTTCCACGAGCTCCAGTTCCAGGGTCGCACCCTGTACCCGGGTCAAGGAAACAACATGTACATCTTCCCCGGTCTCGGACTCGGATCGATTCTCGCCCGCTGCTCGTCCGTGACAGATTCCATGGTCGAAGCTTCCTCGCTTGGCCTCGCCAACTCGCTGACCCCGCAGGAAGAAGCGATGGGTCTGCTGTATCCCCAGATTGAGCGGAGTGCGTAATTCATATCTTGGCACTCCTGGTCCGACTGACGCTCGCCCAGTCCGGGAAATCAGCGGGGGAATTGCGGTGCAGGTCATTCGCGCTGCACAGGAAGCTGTATGTCCCCATCGTCTTCTTGTCTTCTGGCGCATCGTCTCATGAGCTTTAGGGTGTGGACCGATATCCCGAGCTTCGCAAGATGAGCGATGCAGAGCTGCTCAAATTTGTTTCTGGCAAGATGTGGACCCCGCAGATTTGAGACGTGTGCTATGATTTATGTTTGGATGCTTTCCTGCTATGATAGATTTGTAGATGCTTAGAATCGAAAGATGGATACAATCGGAATTCCCAATCTGCTGGATCGACCCTAAGCAGAGCTGGAACAAGCAGAACGATTTCTTGGAATCGTCAAGATCACAGAACCACTCGCAGATCGAACGAAAGACGGCCGATAAGCGGATCCCGAGAATCGGCGCGGCCAGCGATGGAGAGTATCCTAATGTTTTCTCCGCTCATCCGGACCGTTCTGCGAGTCGAGGCAGCTGATAACACTCGCTGCCGTCAACTTCCACATTGTCGAACTGCCGGCGAGACCCAAGTATCTGGCGATGCGATCCGGGCAACAAGGAGATCCAATAATATCATGACCGGACGCGACTGACAGTCTCGCAACCCTTGCACTCCCGTAGGATGCCGCCAAAATTTAGCCGCCATGTTGGTCATTTCCAATTACATCGCATCAGCCACTCGAACTCATGTTGGACGAGGATCCACTGCCCGCGGTCAATGCCGGAGAGTCTCGCTGGGCCAAGATGGGTGTTGCGGGAGCTAGCCCTTTTGGGGGGTAACAGTCCCACTCCAACGGTCAACCTCGTAGATCCCGTGCCAAGCCCGGTGCTGAAGATCGTCAGAGAAGGATACAGTCGCGTGGACACTTCAGGAGTGAAGACAGCTTGAGACTTCGCGTGCTGAGGATGCTTTCAAGACTCGATTGGGAGTTGCTGGTTGTTCCGAGGAGTGCAATGCCGCTGGGTCCGGCCCTCAAGGCAAGAAGTGCTTGGTAGTTTTTTGCGGACCGGAACTCGAAACTAGACTGCATGAATCTCTAGCAAAGGTTCTCCGGAAGCATCGGAATTTCTCGGACTACTCAGACCCCGATGAGGTCGATGATGCGGCTTGTGAGGCCTTGAGGATCCAATAAGGGAAAGTCAATTTCACGATCACGTGACTGTCGTGATATGAGGCCACGATCTGCTGATCTGGCTTTGTCCCCCCGCAACCATATGGATTTGAAACTACGAGACGTTCATGTTTTGATCACAGGTATGGCCCGATGCCTTGTTCAGGAAGTTTGATGCGACCTCTGCTGACAGGAGCGAGCGGAGGCATCGGTTTGGAAACGGCCCGCCTGTTCCTTGGTGCGTGGTTGTTCGTGCGAATCACCACGACCGCAAGTTTCAATCGATTTTGCAGCCCAGGGAGCCAAGGTCACAGCACACTACAACACCAGCTCTTCCCCGCTCGACGCGCTTGTCGAAGAGTACGGAACTGCCAGGGTAGCTCGCACACAGGCCAATCTGGTTAACGAAGACGACGTCGATCACCTCTTCTCTTCTGCCAGTAACACACTGGGTCCTGTGCAGATAGTCGTCATCAATCATGGGATCTGGCCCACCGCAGATGAACCGGTGGAGAGCATGTCTCTCGATAGATGGCGCACTACTTTGGACGTGAATCTCACGTCGGCGTTTCTGGTATCTCGAGCGTATCTGAAGCAACTGCGCAACGCGAGCGAAGATCAGCAGCACACGGCATCCATGCTTTTCATCGGGTCCACCGCGGGAAAATACGGAGAAGCGGGCCATGCAGACTATGCGGCGAGCAAGAGCGGTGCGTCAAATCGCAGCACAAACTTTTCTCGCGATGTCACGTCGCATGTGCAGCCCTGATGTACGGCCTGGTCCTCTCCCTCAAGAATGAAATCGTCAAGATCGCGCCTCGTGGAAGAGTCAACGCGGTCGGTCCCGGATGGGTCAAGACACCCATGGCAGAAGCAGCGCTCAAGGATCCTCAAGTCGTCTACCGGGCCGTTGCAACGTACGTGCCCACCGCGCGGACCGGCCCCGTGATGATATTGACGGGATTGTTTCGCCAGAACCCCTCTGAAAAAGGTGGCGGAGACATGGGACATCGCGACGCAAGTCGTGATGCTCTCGTCACCTTCGGTGTCCGGCCATGTCACAGGACAGGTCGTGATGGTCGAAGGTGGGATGGAAGGTCGGCATATCAGCTGAGAACTGAATCATATGCTTACTCTTTCCAGGCCGCTTGTTGAACCAGATGACCGCGAACGGAATACAAGCTTACTGATACATTCGATTTGCAATGACATGTGTACACATATTTCGAACGGGCACTGTGTGGAATGCAGGCCAAAACCCAGTTGAACACCGATTACAATTATCACGTAATCAATCACATGCCACAAATCGGCCCCCACAAACGTCGAAAGGACCCTCACCTCTCTTTCACCTTTGCGTTTCCAATGGAGGAAATCATGAAGGCATCTGCGTCCGTTTGTTACTGCCGTGCTGTCGCGCTCTCTCAATGTGATGTCAGATAGTCCTTGGAAATTGAAGGGCAAAAGCTGGACTTTCTTGATCTCTTCGCTGGACCCCAAGGCCAATTTTCCGGCCGGATGGAGTGAGGAGTTCCAAGCCGATGCTCTCTCCCAAGGCGGTGAGTTCATTGGTGGACTAGGCAGTGTCATGGTGCTTCTTTCCCCAAACTTATGCTATTGCGGTCTAACAGTCGTGATAATAGGTCGTGTCATATGCGGAGTCGCCAGTCGGTAAGCAGATCGAGACCTAATAGAGATGTGTGAACACCATCTCCCCAGGACCGTGTAAGTGGAGTGCCTATTTGATGGCCTGCTGACGACCAGAGACTAGATAACGAGTTGATCTACATTCCTGGCCGGTTCAAATACTCGGATGGGAGCAAGTCGTTCCGCATCACGAGAATCTATGTCTCGACCAAAGAGTCCACGCTCAATGGTACGTTTCAGCACTCATAATACATCGTCGAAGAATCTGAATGAAATTAGGGAGGAGAAATTGGAACATTCCAAGTTCGTACTATTCCCGGCTCTGCTCGATTCTTGTCCTTACACGATATGCCCCTAGAACTGACGGCAGACTTTGTCATCGACACCAGCGCAGACGGATCGACGGACATTGCCGTCTCTCAACCTGGGTGTACTACTCCCTTCTTCCAGGCCACGGTCCGACCGATACTCGTGCTCTCCTCCCTCTCCATTCCCAGCAACACCGCCATCCTGGGTCAGCTTCTCAATTTGATGCAGCCGCCGCTGCCGGCCGGAAAGAATCCTGAAGATGTCGGCACCGAGCAGTGGGCGAATCTGACGCCAGCGCTCAGGGGTTCCCTGTCCGTGAGAAAGTTAATACCCGTAAAAATCGGCGATGGTGCCAGTTATCCCCAGGTTAAACCGTGGTCACTAGCCCTCGTGACGGATAATTTGGAGTTGGATTTTGGACTCGCTCATTTCTCTCCAGTTGTTTGATTTGTTCTCCAAACAACCGGTATATGTATGTACTGTTTGTATGTTCTGTTTATATGTATATTTGTCTACTCGTAATCCTCGCTCTCGTGCGCTTTGGCCGCTCAGAACCGCAAGATAAGATAAGGCAAGATTAGATAATTCACCTTCGAACGCCATACTTTCCGAGTCTTCCCGAATGCTGTCCGTCGTGGCTTGTGATTTGGCGTTGATGCCTCCGATGTGCAGGGATCCAAGAGCAGAAAGACCCGAAGTGGAAATCTGATCACACTTTGGGCGGGCGGCTGCTCTCATGTTGAGCATGAGACGGCCAGCGGACGTCGAGGGTACAACGAGCGACCAGCTGTTGGCAATTGTTGCCACTCCAGGAGACGCGAATCTCCAAAGGAGAGTGGTACCCAAAAACACAACGATGTTGCTTTACGGGAGATCATCAATAATCGCACCTGGAAGCGCGCGAGGGACTGACCACAGAAAATAGAAAACAGAATCTCGGATGAGGATGCGCAACAGCGAATGGCCTGCCCAAGAGCTTTCTGGAATAGAGTTGAAATGAACATACGCCTTTCTGGCCGCAAGTACAAAAACAATCGAGTCGAAAATCATGAATGCAATCCTGAGCGGACAATGAACCCTCTTTCCTTTCTAATCTAGGGGGACTAAAACGCACCAATATGGGTAGAAGTTGTAGGGAACAATGTTATTGCAGAAAGGAAGGGTGGTGGATGTTCCGGCAACAAGGGCCATTCCCGCTGTAGTAATGCAGTCACTGATTGCGCTGGATTATTCCGCTTACAATAAGCAGCAGGGAAATGTGTGATCGAGAGAGAAACCATGCTCCCGAGCTCTCCGATACAAAACATGGATACGACGAAGATCAGCCTCTTGTCTGCGGTTTTTTGAATACATTGGAAATTCAAGAGCTTTTTCGAGTTCATTACCTTGTCCATACATGGCATGTAGTCGGATTTGCATGATTACTAAGATGGTCAATTCATCAAGATGTAGACGCAGACGAAGACGCAGACGATTGGCGGGCGCACCTTCGACCATGAATGCACCAAAGAGAGCTGTGATCTCCTGTGTTGGACTACGCCTTCAAAAATCGACCAAAAACGCACAGGCAAATACGTCGAACTTGGCCCACATAAGACCTTGAAATACATCAAGGCAGGCTGTACAGAGCACATTTCACGTACAACTGAAAGACATCAATTTCGAAATGTTCACAGGAACATGAGCACACTCACGTTCCCGTATCCGGAGTCATGTACAAATCGACTGCAGGAAGATCTCTGTTTTTGCTTGGATTTCAACATGGAACGAAACTCACAGAATACCGAAAAGATCACTAGAACGAAAGTGAAATATCGATTCTATGAACACAGTTGATGGGATAACGGAACATAAATTTGGGCACGGACCATGAAGAAGAGAACCTTGACGAAGGACCAAGGTGTGCCCTGTCCAAGGTTATCGTTCAAGACCAGGCTGTCAAATGCGTTGCTAACCCAGAAGTACTGGACCTAGGAGGAACTTGATGAGTGTATGCAACAGAACAGACCATGTGCCTATCATACTTCTCGCGGGAATGTTAATACTGATCGCCGAATGAGTGCGGAAAGAATGACACAGTTACTTGATGGACTGACTGAGATCCCACGTAAACAGGCACAGCGCGCTGACTGTCGTAAGGCGGATAAGCCAGGCAGGACTCACGCACATCCTGGTACGCACCGTTGCCGGCGCGATCCATACGATTCTGCCAGCGCATTGTGACCTCATCTAACGCTCCAGCTGCTTCCATGGCTCTGGGGTGGCGACAGTCAAGCGTAGCCCCGGCTCGTGAAAGTGGGCAGTTACTTATATAGCGCATAGAGGCGGACGTGACCCGAAGTGGAAGCGACGACCAGCGATCGCTAGTCATTACTTAATGCTAAATGAACGGCGGGGTCGGTCCCGAGTTGTGGTGATGCTGAGCAACGTCGGGATCCATGTGGTGGATAGAATGTCGCAGTGTGACTGGCGTGAACACGTATTCATGGTGATATTGTACCTCTACACTCAGCTGAAAACGAGGAGGATCAGAGGGACGGGCCTTAGACCTGTGGGTTCGTCACAATGACGGTGAGGGCACCTGAGGTCAGGTGACCGCGTGCCTTGACAGTCCGACATCGGAACTGAGCACTGAGTACTGAGTACCCACGGCTGCCGAACTCGGACGCTCTAACTCGGCCGTTGAGTTTGTCTCTCGGCCTGAAGTGTACCAGAGGAGAGCATGCCTTTCCTGGGTCTCGTTTGCGCTGCTCGAATGTACGAGGTGCTCTTATCATGGGCCAGTTCGGGGAGGTGATTGATTCAAGTTGTCATCTCGGATACGATATATTGTCGCGCGGTCGAAGTAGCCTATAGGCATAGATCATTCAGCAAGTTGTTAGTCGAGTCGATGTAATCGTTGTGCCAAGGTCGGAGAGAGATGCCAGCCCAACGTTGGTGACTGCCCGAAACGATGTCAAGGGGAAACGGACCATAGCCCCTGGAATCAGGCAGAGTCCGGGAATAGAAAGAGCCGGCCGTCCCCGAGTGAGCGGTGTCCAATCAACGACGACATGATGACGCTCCAGTTTTAGCAAACGCGCTGTCACCATCCCTCCCTTCCGTTAGTACCCACCCTCCCCATCGTCTTGGGCCACCTCCCATACAAGCCTAGTCGCGAGACTCCTCAGGTTCAAGGTGCGGTCGCTCCATGTCAGATAGCTGCCCTTTCCCTACATGGCCGTAGAAATCCGAGATGTTGTCGAAACAAATCATCAACGCTGCGCGGGGACGCAGCGCCAAGCTCAGCGCACATGGCGCGACTGCTCTGACCATGTCCAAAGGATGGTCGGTGCTCCTCCATATCCGCTTGAACTTCCAGTTGAAAGGACGTGATTTCCACCCAGGACCGCTGCCAGCTCGCGCACCCGACGGGCTGCTTTCCATTCCACAAATCTTTTGCAGGGTGTGTGTTCTTTCGCCCTAATAGTCTTTTTCCCGTAGTCCCGCTCAAATTGATCTTCACAGCGGAGACTGTCAAAGTACCGCAGATGGCCGAGTCTATCACGGAAGGAACACTCAAGACATGGTTAAAACAAGTCGGAGACAGCGTCAACGCGGACGATGAAATTGCTACCATTGAGACTGACAAGGTACGGGCTCTTCTTGTCTCCAGGTCTGACACGTCAATTTTCCTCCAAGATTGATGTATCTGTGAATGCCCCGACGTCTGGAAAGATCGTGGAATTGTTGGCACAAGAGGAGGACACCGTGACTGTCGGTCAGGACTTGTTCAAAATCGAGCCCGGTGAGGTCGAAGCCAGTACGTCGTACCCTTCGCCCCATCTACATCATTCCTCATCTGTCGTAGGCAAACCACCTACTGCAAAGGAGAGTGCTCCACCACCATCTCCCGAGACCTCTTCCGAGAAACCTGCGGACAAACCTACCGAGAAACCTGCTGAGAAACCTGCTGAGAAATCTGCCGATAAACCTGCTGAAAAGCCCGCTGAGAAGAAACCAGCTCCAGCGCCCAAGCCAGAGGCAAAAGAGAGCAAACCAGCAGCTGCCCCTCCCACACCGGGAAGCAGGAATGAAACCCGCGTCCGTAACCTGTCATGCGAGATACGCTAACACTGACTATCTTACAGGTCAAGATGAACCGCATGCGTCTCCGGATTGCAGAGCGTCTCAAGGAGTCCCAAAACGCGGCGGCTTTCCTCACGACCTTCAACGAGATCGACATGTCTTCGCTGATGGATATGCGCAAGCGTTACAAGGACGCGGTCCTCAAAGAGCACGATGTGAAACTCGGGTTCATGAGCGCGTTTGCCAAGGCCTGCACCCTCGCATTGAAGGAGATTCCGTCGGCCAACGCGTCGATCGAGGGAGAGGAGATCGTCTACCGGGACTATGTTGATCTCAGTGTCGCTGTCGCGACACCCAAGGGTCTCGTTACCCCCGTTCTGCGCAACGCCGAGAGCTTCAACTTTGTGGGCATTGAGAAGGAGATTGCTGGTTTGGGCAAGAAGGTGTGTGCAGAATGCACAGTTTGATAGCTCGGCACTATCTAACCCGCGTGTAGGCTCGTGACGGAAAGCTGACCCTCGAGGACATGTCAGGGGGCACCTTCACCATGTATGTGACCCTGTGAGATGGTTGTCCTGGTTCTCATCTTAGTTCCAGTTCCAACGGCGGCGTGTTTGGCTCGTTATATGGCACTCCGATCATCAACCTGCCCCAAGCTGCTGTGCTCGGGATGCATTCCATCAAAGACCGACCGGTTGTCGTGGACGGCCAGATCGTCATTCGTCCCATCATGGTCGTGGCTTTGACCTATGACCACAGACTGCTCGATGGCCGGGAGGCGGTCACTTTCCTCGGTATGAGTTCACTTTTCCCAGTTCCTCACTTGCTGACGCGATGTATGCGCAGTCAAAGTCAAGGAATACGTAGAGGATCCCCGCAAAATGCTCTTGGCTTAGCCGAATTCTTTTCCTTACTTAAGTACCGTACAAATTCCATCTATTGTCGGAAGCACCATTTCACTGGTTAGATCACCCGGAGTAGATCGCTCATAACACCCATCGCCGTGACAGCAGCCCCAGCCCCAGCGCCTTGGATGATTAACGGCCGAGCACCGTATCGCTCTGTGTGGAACATAATGATGTTGTCCGATCCTCCCAACGAAGTCGCGAACGGATGTGAAGTGGGGTATCGCTCCAGTCCAGCACGGACTTGGCCGGTCACGACATCCACCACACCCACAAAACGCAGCACCTGCCCGTCCGCGCTGGCGTCCGCCCGCATTTTCGCGAATCTCTCGTCGAATTCAGGCAGCCTAGCAATGAACTCGTCGCCCGTGGGGATGCCCTCCAGTTCGGCAGGAATCAGGGAGGTGGTTTGCACGGACTTGAAGGACTGCAATCGTGGCAGTCCTCCTGGAGAAGGGGAGTGCGCGATGATCCGAGACAGGATCGTCAGCTTGCGGGCGACGTCGAAGCCATTGAGGTCATCTGCCGGATGAGGTTCCTAGCAGATGGTGTTCAAGAAGGCGATTTGAGATAAGGAATATGGGCTCACCGTGTAGCCCTTTTCTCGTGCAACTTTGACCACAGAGGAAAAGGTGGGACCATCCGGCTTGCCGGTGGAGAATTCGTTGAAGATGTAGCTCATTGTCCCTGAGAATACGCCCTCGATTTTCGTGACCTACCCGGGGACGTGAGATTTCAGACTCGACTACACAAGCATGCGCACCTTATCTCCAGTAGCCACGAGGTCTTTTAGGGTTGAAAGAACAGGCAGTCCAGCACCAACGGTGGATTCGTTGAGGAATCTACCACCCGACTGGCTGGATTCAAGAATCTGCTCATAAAGCTCGACATCGCCCGAGAACGCCTTTTTATTCGGAGTGATGACGCTGATACCAGCCTTGAGCCATTTGGGATAGAACGCGGCGACGTCGTCCGATGAGGTGTTGTCCACCAAGATAATCCGATGCGAGGATGCGAGGAGCACTGAGAGTCGCTCCGTGAGTTTTTCCAGATCGGGACGATCCTTTGCGCCCTCAAGCTGCGATTTCCACGTCGAGATCGTTATGGGGTCGTGGGTGAACAGTGAGCGCGTCGAAGATGTCAGTGAGACGAGCTCGAACGGAGAGATGGGCAGGGAGAGGAGCTGATTGATAAATTCCGAGCCGACCAGTCCCACGCCAACCACGGCGACATATACGGGCAAGGCAGACATATTTTCAAGAACAAGGAAGGGTTGCGATAATCGACAAATCGAGTCAGAACGCCGGCATGAGCCTATAAACATGCCATAACAGTCTAGAAGAGTTGCTCGAGCGCGTACCCACCGCTGATATGTTGGCCAACCTTGCTCGCACTGTGGGTGCCAAGAACCATTCTTGTCAAGAACAGTCCCAGGTCAGCTTCAGGCACGGTAATCCAGGACCCACGTGACCGTGTCCTCTCGCCCCGAAAATTGTCATTGTTGTGTATCAGATTACGCAAGCGTCACAAACTATCATTTCATTCAATGTATATGTCATGCGCCACATGGCTTCAAAAATACAAAAAATTTTGTACATGTCACAGGTCACCAGGGTCAAGTTCAAAAACTGTCGAAGTGTCACAAAATTGCTGAAACTTGCCCAAAAAATCAAAATTTTGGCTTACACAGCTGTGCACAATGTGGCATTTAGGGTCTGTTTGGCTGCCAGGCACAGGTGCAGGTGCAAGACACAGGTGCAGGATTATAATGAGATTGATGGCTTAGCATCTATATATTGCATTGTGCAACCGGTGATGGGCTGGCTACCAGGTGTGCTCTGCACCAGCTCTATAAGGGCATATTTTTGCGCTTTTACAGAGTTTACTCTTGAATCACTTGGTGTGTCATGTTGCAGGTGCCAGTGTCATGCTCAGTAGGACTTAAGGGTTTGCTGCCCAGTCAATGACTGTGGATAGTGTCAACAATAGCAAAGCAGTCAGACCACTACTGTGGAATTGGTCTTATAGGTCTATACCAGACTCAGGACTAGTGGCAACAGACACTTGTGTCATGGCAATTCCTCAAAAGGGATATTCTTGTCACTGTCAGGGGACGCCACGCTCCTAGGGCATGTGACCATGCACGTGACCCACTGTGCCCTCTCTGCCGACCTGTGCCTGCTCACCTGTCGATCACCCAGCCTCCTCCTCCTCCTCCGATCCTCATCTCCATCCATGCCAACATCCGTCCTCTTCCTCTTTCCCCTGGCCATCTCCCTCAAATCCCCGCAAGCGGTCTAGCCAAGCCCGATTCCTTGCACCAGGGAGTGCTACTGCTGTACGCACTCCTCCCCCTCTACTTCGGCCTTCTTCCCGCGGATGTGGTCTACTGCCATACAGGCTCATACCAGATGCCCTTGTGCTCATCTGCACCACCCCTCTTCCCAGTTGGGCATTGGTCCTTGCCTCTGATGTCTCCACTGGCTGGCCCGGCACTGGCCTAGCCACTGGACTCCTCCAGTGTGGCCTTCCACTGTTGGTGTCTCAGGAGCTGGCCATCACTGGCCCCTCTGAGTCACTCACTATCTTATCTGGGTTTGTCATTATCTACTTGTCATCTGCCATTGTTCCATGGCAGTGATATCCCATCATCATCAGTCACTTGTCACAGCTGACTATATAGTGTGACACCTGGGCACATGGATCCTTGAACCGTTCTCTAAGGATCTCTCTCTGTGCTCAGGTGAGTATGAAAAATGCTGGGGGGTTCTCACATGCACCCCTCAGTTTAGCATAGAGATTCAAGCCAAGATCCCACTAGCTTTGGCAGCAATACACAACTTCATCCTCAACACCAATGCAGAGGAACATGCTGAAATCATGAATTTATGACGATGCTAAAAATTCTAAGCCTGGAGTGCGTGCTCAAGTGCCCGTCAATCTTGGCATGTTACAAGACAGTTCAATCTCAGTGGCAGTGTCAGGGGATGACATGTCAGCATGATGATGTCCTTAGGTACTGATCTGGTGGTGTACTAGTGGTGTTCCAATGGATATTAGTCACCAGTGTCATATCTCTTATGTCATCTACTTGTATATAGGTAGTTTCTGGGGATCTCTGATCCCCAGTCTTGTTATTGACTTGGCTCCTGAGCTCCACTCCCCTTATAGGCAGAACAAAATTGAGCTAAGTGTAAGGGCAACCTCGAGACCCGATCTCAGAGTTCTGGCAAGGGAGAATCCAAAGTGTCAATAGTGGTAGCTAGGTACAAGACCGGCATACCTGGCAAGGGAGAATCCAAAGAGAAACCGTGTTGGGGATTCTCCTTGCCAGGTGCCACTATTTATATGATACAAGAACAATAGAGCACGCAGCAACAAACAAAGAACAATGGGAACAATAAGTACAATGGCCGTTGGAGAACAATAGGAAACCGAGACAGTGGGAACGATGGGACACCTGACCATGTGCCCATCAGAGAGAAGCGCTTGGCGCAGCGGTCCGGGCCGCGGCACGTGACAGCTGACAGGTCACGCGAGCGCAATCACATGCCTGATCAAAGGCAGAGCGGTCTGAAGCGGGGGTTCCCCTGACATCACCCCGCCCCTTGGATTGCGGCGCCTCGACGCAACGTGCGGATGGTGGCAGAGGGGTGCTGGAACGGAAGGGAGTCGAAGATGGCAGCGGCAATGATGCGTGGCTTGTTGGGGTGCTTGCAGTAAAATGCCGCTATAGCGTCCTCTGCAAAGATATCAGAGTGCTTAACCCATTGGTCGTGCGACGAATCGTAGCCCTTCCACCGCACAAAGTACCAAATGCTCTGATAGCGCATCTTGGCGTCCAGAACCTCTTTGACTTCCCACTCCTCACCAGCTCCTTGGCCCATGACAGGTGGCGGCTCCTCGCGAGCCGGGCGTGTTGGGAACGGGTCGTCCTCAACAAGCTGCAGCTTGACGACGGGGAAGACCAGGTGAAGACCAGAGAGGCGGCAAGGGAGGTCAAGCTTGTAAGCGCCGCACCCAACAACCTGGGTGACTTTGAAGGGACCCAGCCGTTGGTGAGAGAGTTTGAGGGACGGGCGCGTTGTTGCTATGTCAGAAGCGTCAAGCCAGACTCGATCTCCGACCTTGATGTCTGGAGCCGAGACCCTCCGGCGGTCGTAGTACTGCTTGTACTCATCCTTTGCCTTTACCAGTGCCGACTTGGCTTCTGCCACTCCGGACGTGATGCAGTCGCGGAAGTCGTTTGCCGACTCGTTCACAGCTGAGCGTAGTCCATTCAGTTCGAAGCCCATACGAGGGAGTTGACCGGTATCTGTCATCAACGGGACCTGCTGCGTGGATGAGTGAATATGGTTGTTGTAGGCAAACTCTGCAGCGGGAAGCAGCTCGTCCCAGTCATCCTGGTTGTAGCTGGTGAAGATCCGGAGGAACTGTTCGAGCTTCTGGTTCACACGCTCGGTCTGGCCATCTATCTGTGGATGCCAAGCCGTAGACATTGCCGATGAGACCCCGACCAGTTTCCACAGCTCCTTTGTGAACTCTGCTATGAACTGGGAGCCACGGTCAGAGACATACTTAGACGGCAGCCCATGGTGGCGCCAGACGTTCTTGTAGAAAAGCCTGGCGGCACCTTCACCAGAGAGCCGGGTGTGGCACTCTATAGAGTGGCTGCGCTTCCCAAGCATGTCAACAACGACCATGATAGCATCATACCCATGAGCGTCTGGCAGATGCACAATGAAGTCAACCGACACCGCTTCCCAGCGCTCCAAAGGGACCTCCGTGGGATGGAGTTCCCCGATTGGGAGTTGGCGGAGCGCCTTGGTTCGGCAGCACAGGTTGCAGGTGGCCACATACCGGCTGACGTGTTGAGACAACTGGGGCCACCAGTAGTTCCGAGAGATCAGCTCCAATGTCTTGAAGCGGTCGGCATGCCCTGCGACGCGGGTGTCGTGGTGCTGCTCGAGGATGCGTCGGCAGAGGTCGTTGTTGCGTGGAACCACCAGCTTGCCACGGAAGTAGAGCAGGCCGCCTTCTTTTCGCCACTCCGCAGCCCGAGCAGAGCGAACTCCGCGTTCCTTGAGGAGCTCACGTGCTGCCAACACAATGGGCTCCTCCATGTCGGGGGTACCGGCAAGAGCCTCCCGGATGTCGCACAGGAGAGGGGCTTTGGGTCCAGAGACAGTGAGACCCTCTAAGGCCCGGACATGGAACAGCTCCGGGCGCAGCAGTGTGACGTCTGCGTTGTCCAAAGCGACTCCGTGGTTGGGGCGGCGCGAGAGAGCATCCGGGCGGCCCATGAGGCAGCCAGGTTGGTGGTGCAGGGTGAAGTCAAAGCGAGACAGATAGAGGGACCAGC